TGAAAAAAATAACAAATTAATAAATAAAATAAATAACATATTTTTTCATCTATTATATTAGGATTTTGAAATTATTCTTAAAGTAGGAAACTTTTGAGATGATATGAAATTATAACATGAGTTTCTTGACGATTTAGATTGTTAACAATATCCTGTGTTGTTTTATATTATTTTTATTTTTATCTTTCGGAAGTTATTGGTTCATTATTCTGTTTAAATCCAACTTACCACTTTTTGCATTAAATTTTATGAATGCTATACTGTATTACTGAGACGGTGGGTTAACTTAAATCAATGAGTTGAACTGTTGTCTCCATAAAAAATGTATCCATTCGTCCGATATATGGGAATTAAGAAGATTAGACTAAAACAAAGTATTATTCCATATTACTTTATTTTAGTTTTATCTTCTTTTTTTTTATTAACGTTGTTGTAACATAATCATAAAAGAACAAAACCACTTTATAGTGTTAATATCTTTGTAATACTAGTTATTTCAACAAAAAATATCCAATATTTGTCTATTAAAGTCGTTTATAAAAACTAAAAAAACGGAAAACTGCTAATAATTAATTAAACAAAACCGCCATTTTGTTCATTTATCCGCTATTAAAAAGTCATATACTAAACCCGCACGCTGTGAAAGTCCCTAATTAACCATTGTTATTTTTTTCTTTCCCTGTCTATGTATGTAATATTCATTTTTTGTTTTAAAAAATTGATTTATTTTTACTATAATTTAAACCATTTTTGTTGCTATTGGTGTTGATAATTTATAATTATTTTCATGTTTTTTTAATTTTTATTATTGTTATCGTTATTATTTGTATCATTAATATTATTTAATATGATTTTCTCTAGGTGTTTACTTCATATTAGTTTTCAACTAGTTGTAAGTATCCTTGACTGTAAGACCTTGTTAAGAAATATACATGATTGATATAATATAAATAGTGGATAAATAAATATTATAAGTTTTAACAAACATACAACATTTTATAAACAGGGTTGCTACGGGTATTTAGGAACAAAATTCCCTGATTTTCTCTGATTTTTTCCTTGAAATTTTGATTATTTTTCCCTGATTTTTTTGCTAAAATTTTAAACGTTTACTCCAGATATTTTTAGTATTCATATTTCAAATTTTTAAAAATTTTGACCATTCCAAAATAAAGATAAATGTAAACACACTTTGACTAATTTCGTTTAATAATTTTAAAAAAATTAACCCTGGTACACTGGAAATGAAATATTTGTATCAAAAAATATTTTAAAACATTAAAAAACGTAGTAATAATTAAAAAAATTGTATTTAAATTTCCCTGATTTTTTCTGAAATCCCTGATTTCCCTTATTTGGTGGCAACCCTGTATAAATCTATTAAGGAAAATTGATGACAGAAAAATAATAGTTGGTAGCTTAAACACCTAACTAATAAAAAAATAATCCTCAAATATTTGACCTTAATGGACAATAGTTAATAAACAATCTGAACTAGGCAACAAGCAGCATGAAGATATTTAATCGTTGTCCAGCACTAATTGTAATACATGATCATTATTTGTGGTACCAAAACTATGGTATTTATTGATAAATAGCTACCACAAAAACGGTGTCAGCTACAGTTCCATTAATGCTTTCTCTAATAATAAACCCTCATTACAGAAAAACAGAAAGTGTTTCAAAATTAAGTCTTAAAAAGAGTTAAAAAGGTTTTTCTTTTTTTTTATGCATACAAAAAGGAAGAAGACACCACTTATAAAATAAATAATTTCAAAATCCTGAAATTGCTTTGGGTACAATATGCAGAATATTTTTTCTCTTAATTTTGCTTTCAGCTGAGTTAATTTGACAACAACAAAACAACATTGTTAAACCAACAAAAAGCAACACTTTAATGAAAATAAAAAACTACTGAACTTACTTTATCAGCGTCAACACCAAAGGCAAATCTAATTCTTCAGCTCTACCTCATTGGTCTCATCTTATAACAACTCCCAAGAATAAGTTATATGCAAATAATTTTTCCTCTATTTCATTCCTTGATTATAATGACTCTATTATATGATTATAATGACTATAAAAAACTCTTCCTGTCTTACCAGAGAAACAGGTTAACCCATTGTTAGACTTAAAAACATTGATAAAAATAATAATCTTCAAAGCATTGCTAAAAATAATAATTACACATTATTTCACTTAATAATAGTTACACTTATTTTCATGAGGTATTTTCAAAGCAAATTAATAAATAAAAATTAACAAGAAATCATTCTTTCTCACTATAAACATAAACTTCGTGTTGACTTCATGAATAGGTATAAAATTAAAATTAGGCTGAACAGTTAAGAAATCACCTAACAAAATTAAAAAGTTTTTGAATGAAAAATAAATTAATGTTATCAAAGTTAAGCACTGAAATTATCTTTATAAAATTTTTGAAATAAACTAAAAAAGAAAAATGCCTAACAACATGTCTAACATTTTTTATTAACTTTATTTTAATGTTCAGACCAAGGTAGGAAACATTTTTGTCATTTTTTTATCTTTGATATATATTATGATACATTAGATTATAGATTATATGATAAATTATATTATAATACATCATACAATGCATAACATAATGTATAAAACAATGTATCATAACTAATCGAAGCTCAAATTATGACTTCCCGCTAAAGCCTGATGCTCTACCAAATAGCTCAAAAATATCTAATGAAAAAGCTGATATTTTCTTCAAATACCTTTAATTCTAGCCTGGAATTACTAACTCATAATTAAAAATCAAAAATCTACAAAATTCAGCAAATTGAAAATTCCAAAATCTGAATTAAAATAATGGCTTCCAAAAAAACAAAACCATTTCTATATACAATAAATAATAAACATTTTAACATTTATTTACGTCGCTACATAAATAGATATTAAAAACTTTTTAAAATATTTTATGTCAGTAAATGAACCTAAATTCCACTATTTTCCTTACTTTACATTGAGCACAGAACTAATATCTTTTAGATTTGCAAGATATTTGTAGACAACCATGATGCGACCAATGATCACACTGAAGTCATTTTTGGTTTTTTCCAGCCGCCTTAGACTTAGCATACTTGATACGGCCATTTCTCAATGCTCACAGCTTCACACCGCTTGATGACTTCAGCCCATGCATCCTATACAAAATATTGCTCAATGTCATCAAGACTTGCTCTAAAACACCATAAAATAAGTAATGATTGACTTGCAAATCTTATTGAAAAGCAAACAATAATAAAAAAAGGAACACATTTAACAAAAATTATTAACCTCATATACATACTAAAATTAGACTTTACTCTTTTGTCATATTGTTCCATGAGATGACGAAGAATAAAAGAAGAAACATGACGTGAATAAAACTTTAGTGGCTCTGAAAGTTTATTGTTAACTTTAAGTTGTTGGTCAAAGTCTGCATGTTTAGGTTTTTCTATTTGCACTCTATTAACCTTAAGAATTTAATATATAAGATTTTCAGGTAACACGCGCGACAAAGGGCCAACATCTTTAAGTGTTCTATGATATCTAATCAGAACAATAATTAACTATTATAAAATTATTGTAAAAACATTCATAAAAAAAATTAAGTTATTCAATCTAAAACTTTTTATATTGCAAGAGTTTTCTATCAAAAATAATGAAGTCATCTTAAAATAACCACCTTTCAAATCTGGTATTAGTATGATTGTCTAAATGCATCAGACCTTTTCTATAGTGACCCCTAAAAATTTCTGGTAAGGTCAGCCAGTTTTCTTGAAGATACACATAGAACGTAGTGAAATTTTTTTCAATATTTAATAAAGTTTTAACGCATGTTGCCTGATTACCGTACATTAATTTCTGAGTAGCCTAATGAAATAATTATACATTAAAGTGAGAACATAGTTGCATTTTTACAATAGTTTTATTCATAAATTTTTCAATTGTGAGTAAGATAAACAATAAAGATAATTAAAAGATATTATAATTGCAAAGCTTGAATAATAATTTCTGATCATCAGCAGTAAATATACCCTTCTTAATTTGATAAATAAATGTTTTAGCGACATGAAAGCGACAGAGAAATATTTTATTTCCTGGAAAAACGGACTGTAGTCCAGATATTTCTGCTTGAGCTTTATCAACCATGAATATTGACTTTTAAAAAGTTTCAATCCCAGTCCATTCCTTAGCATGTGTCATTAGCTGCAGATGTGACTGGTTCTCACTATAAACTAAAGACTGCACTACAGGTTGTCCCATACCATTTTGATCCACAACAGCCATCGTGTACAATGGCATAGAAAAGTTGTTAATCTGGATATTATTAGGAAATTTATTAATAGCAATTTATTATTTTTTTAAATACCTATTTTTTTATATAGAAGTTGTAAGCTTAAAAAAAATATTATGCCACACACTTAGCCTATGTTAAGACAAACCTTATAGGTACCATCAAGCATGATACACTCAGGATACTTTTTCAACAAATTTATTTGTTCAGTAGTTATCCATGTGATACATTCTACTTTTCTATCAAGATCGGCATCATATGGGTTATGACGTTTAGTAATTCAAGAACCTTTATAACTTCATCGAGTGCAGGACCTTTTTATTTTATGGGGAAAAAAAATTCTTTTAGAAAGAATAATAACTAAAAGTCATACATTTTAAAATTGAAGTTTAAACCAAAACAAAAACCTTTAAATTTCATTCTTTGCTTTACGTTATATCACGAGGTATAGTCTTTAAACCATGTCTGTTTAAATTGTATGTTACAAGTGTAGGATTAGCACCATGGGATAGTAGAAGCATTGTCTGGTGCTCAAGAAAACCTTTTGGTTGACTTTTTGAACTATACATACAGACTGCTCAGGCCCATGTGGACGATTATAAACTAAATTTTTTTCTTAATATAATAACTCCTTATTTCTTTTTTATAGGCTACATAAATAGCCATCTTACAACCACTTGCTAGCACGCTATTTTTCGTAACCCTTTGCCTCTCTTAAAGACACTGGGCATTGCTTCTCCATGTTTGCATACCCACCTGTAAAAGGAAACTAAAAATAAAGTTTAATATTTGAGTAACTTTATTTTTAATATTTTTATTTTTAAAATATCGCAAATTATTTATTATTTTTATCTTCACTTCCAACAAGTAAGCAAACACTACTTAAGTTAGAAATTACTGAGAAAAAAAAGATAAAGATTATAGAGCAAGATAAGGATTAACAGACGACTTAAAAAGTTGCAAATTATAAGAATCAGGAAAACAAGATGAAGGAAGTGAATTAAATAGAAAACTGATACTTGAAGAAAAAAACTAGATAAATAAAAATTTTTGAAACACTTAGGAGACACAGTAAAATGATGAGACTTAATTGAATGACAAATAATACAAGAATGAATTTTAGCAGATGGCACAAGAGACACTAGCTCTTTAGAGCAGAGCATATTGTAGAACTAGAAGATATTAAGAGAAGCAACTTCACCATGATATGGTTGAAGCAATATCATACAATAATGGTTGGAGGTGGCTGCAAGAGCAGGTCCACCTAAGTTTACAATGTGTTTTTGCACCTTGTCTAAAAGAGAAAGGGCATCTTCGGAAGATCCTCCCCAGATATTTCAACAGTATTTTGTAAAAGGATGAATAAGTTATTTATAGAGATAAAGAATGGAAATAGGAGTCAAAAAGTGGCAAGCACGATAAAGAGAAGCAAGGTTAAAAGATGTTAATTTTGCAATCAATTTGATATATGGTTTCCAAGAAAGAGCAGAAGTAATATTTAATTCTAAAAGACGATGGGATGATGACTCATTGATTACATTACCGCTCATAAATATAGGAAGATCAAAATTATTGCGATAAAGATTGGCTGAAAAATATTGAGTTTCATCTGAGTTTAAGTTCACCAGCCACTAAGAACTCCATGCTGTAGCAGAAGTGAGATCTATTTCAAGCTCGGATATCTCTCCAAGCAATTAAAGAGTGTTGGTGAATCCCAACAGTCTTTAATTGCTTAGAGAATCCCTGAAGTTACAGGAAATGAGAAGAATGCTGTCCACGGAGTACAACTTTTATAATACGATTAGTAAGGAAGAATTAAATAATTTTAAAGACATTACCTGATACACTGTAAGACAAAAGCTTATGGAGAAGACCAGACTGCCAAACTTTATCAAAGGCATTAGAAATGTTAAGAGCAATGACCTTAGCCACCCCACAATGATCTAACACACAATAAAACCTATCAGTTATTACCATTAACAAAGAAGCAGTAGAATGAGAAGATCGAAATCCATATTTCAGATCAGAAAGTAAGTTATTAGATTCAAGATGAGAGATTAAATGTTTGTTAATTAAAGAACTAAAAACCTTGCTTATGATACTAAGAAGACTAATGGGATGGTAGTTAAACATGTCAAATTGCTCTCCAGAATTTTATAAAAATAGGAACAACAAACGCCGCTTTCCAGCAGGCTGGAAAACATGATTTCAATAAACATTTGCTAAATAGTTTTAAAAGTATAGAAGACAGCTGCGGACAACACTTCTACAAGGCTATGACAGGTATATTGTCCAGACCATAGGCTGTAGAAGAGTCTAAGCGGGAAATCACTTTTGATACAGAAGCTGGGGTGATACGAATGTCAAGCAATGGATTAACCTGTTTGACGGTTATATCAGGTAGAATGCGATTGGTAGAATCAATAGATAAGATAGATAAAAAGTTCTTAGCGAATGATCCAGATTTGTCTTTAGGCGAGGTAACATAAACTGAACTGTGCAAGAGAAGTGGAATAAAAGATTTGCCCCTATTATAGACACTGTTAAAGACACAATTTCTGCTCACCTGACTGAGCTTTATATACAGCTTGTTTTGCCCTGCGCCTAGCCACACAATTAAGGAGCCTGTCTTCTTCATTCCCAGACTTTTTCCACATGCTATAAAATTTCCTCTTTTCTTCTATAACTTTAGCCACATTTTCATTCCACCACCATGATTCTTTGTATTGTTGAGAATCTTTTGTTCTTCCACATACTTCATCAGATACTTCAACAAGGCATTTCTTCATGTTTTTCCACACACTTTCTACATTTCCTTTAGATCTGATTTCATTTCTTGCTTTTATGTTCCTTTCAAAATTTTTACGCACTACATCTTCTTTCAATTTGCAAATTCTGCACATACTCACAAAGATTTTTTTAATTTTTTACGAACTTAATGTCACAAATAACTAATTTGTGCTGTGAAATACAAGCTTTACTTTGTATTACTCTTATGTTACTCACCCATTTTCAATCTTCCTTTCTGATTAAAATATAGTCCACTTGTGTCTTTGAACCACCTGACTCATAAGTTACATTCTGTTGATTCTTTTTTATAAACCATGTATTACAGACTGTCAATCCCATTACATTTGAAAATTCCACCAACATCTTTCCTTCTTTATTTATTATCTTAAACTCCTTTCAACCACGTACTCCATCAAAACCATCTTTAGCTGCACCATACAATTAACTTCTCATTTTCACCAATATTCTTCAAAACGCTACCTAGAACAATTTAAAGTTCTTCTTTTTCTTCTCTCTCCCTACCTGTTTGAGGTGTGTATACTGATACTATATTAAGCACTAAATTTCCAATAGCTAATCTTATTACCATTACTCTCTCACTATACTTATCTCAACTACATGATTTATCCATTTTTCTGCCACTAAAATTCCAACACCTGACACTCCTTCTTCACATCCAACCCAGAAGAATTTGTACCAACAATCATCATATCCATTAGTCTTAGCACTCCCACCTTTCCAGCGAGTCTCTTGCAGACAGCATACATCTAGCCTTCTCCTACCTGCTATTTCACCAACTTCTCCACTTTTTCTTTGCATAAAACCCACATTGACTGATCAAACCTTAAATTTTACTACTTTCATCACACTAACACTCTCACCAGCTACTTTACAGAGCAGTCGACTGGTGGTAATACCAACCCCAGTTGATGTAACACACTTGCCACTGACTAATGATTTACTTTTGACGAGTAACTCACCTGAGGTCAACAAGGGACCATCAGACGCACCTCTTGTTAACCTGCGCGACAGGCAATGCGGTATTTTCTTTTGAAATATGATATTACGAGGGTTTGAAGCAGATTATTACAACTGGATGCCATTCCTAGCGTTAACCTGTTTTATACTGTTCAGAAAACTCAGCATTTTTATCGTGACACCATCACTAGAAAAATCACCATTCAAGGTTAAAGAGCTCCTCCTACCCTAACTGTACTAAAGCGAGGTTTTATTTCATAGTTTTCTGTCTCCTAGGTGAGTGGCATTCACTACGATTAATGAGCTTCACCTGTCCAAAGATCAGGTTAATGTCTTAATCAGGACAAAATGTCTTAATCAGGACAATCTATAAGAATCAAATATAATTAGTCAATTAATATATCAACCAATATCAATCAATATATATTTCAGAAAACAAAAGTTGTGACAATTCAAGGTCATTTACAAATAGTAATCAACTAATCCAAAGTAAACACCTGATATTAATGATAATAACAAATAAAAATTAAATTATTAATAACAATAATAATATTATAGATAGTATTAAAGACATTCATTATATAAAAGTAATGTAACATTAAATAATAATAACTACTCCATACATATAATAATAATATATACAACACATACATAATAGCAATATTAAATAAATAGTTATTAGCAAGAATAATAGTCATATAAACAAAAAATAAATTATAATAATTTAAATAAATCATTACTACCCGGTGGGAAATCGGCTAGCGAATAGCTAGCGATATTCGTTACGATTAAGACAGCGATTTAGCCACGAGTAACGAATATCGCTATATAATATCGTAACGAATATCGCTAGCGACCCGCTAGCTAAACAAGCTAGCGAATAGCTAGCGATATTCGTTACGATAAAGACAGCGATATGGCCACGAGGATCGCTAGCTAAATAAGCTAGCGATTAGCTAGCACTAAGTCGTTACGATAAAGACAGCGATTTGGCCACGAGGATCGCTAGCTTTATAAGCTAGCGATCCGTTAGCTAAACAAGTTAGCGACAAGTCGTTACGATAAAGACAGCGGTATGGCCACGAGGATTGCTAGCTAAATAAGCTAGCGAATAGCTAGCATTAAGTCGTTACGACAATGACATCGATTTGGCTAGAAAATCTCGGCTAGGTTAGAAGATATGCTCAAAGAATCGCGTGCTATATTTTTCAGGGGAGTGAATTATAACCATTAAAATAAGATTGCATTTATAACAAATTAAATACAAAATGTTAATACTTGTTTCCATAAAAAGTTATAAATGTTAAAGCCATTATAAAATGTTAATTGAAAAGTTATAGATTACTTTTGAAAAATAAAAAGTCATTAACAACTAAATGATTTTGCCTAAATTAAATTAATAATTTCAAAAGATATTTAAAAAGATAATAGAATAAAATTTCTGTCAAATTTTACTTTTTTTTTAAATCTTTATCAATTTTCGAAAATAATTGCTAAAAAAGTTGTAACAAATAAAAAAAAAAAGTCAATAAAAAATAATAGAACAAATAAACAAAAAAATTAAGTTAACTGGAATCACTACATGAGTCAGTGTTTAAATTTCTTTTTTTTCTAACAGGACTGCGTATTTGTATATCACTTGTTAAAGAAGAACTTCTCTTTCTTGTAACAAAATAACGATCTTTAGACTTTTTCAAGTGTTTCGCAATTATTGTAGTCATACTGGATTCAGTGGCAGTTGGAAATAAACAGTAAGCTGCATAAAAAAAAAATCAAACTTTCGACTGGTCCTATAAACTTACTCTTTTTACCTGCACCAGTTCGATTAATGCTGCAGCACAGCTTGTCTGTTAAACAAGTTTTTAAAGCATTTTTTAAAAAGTCACTTACATTTCTTCCACCAATTTGCTCTAACTTTCTGCAAATGATATCTTTATCATTAGAGTTAATTTTTTTTTCTTTTCTAGTGAGTCAAACTCTTCAACTGAATTAGCTGGTAAATAATCTATATTAATATTTTCTTTATTACCATGATTAGTGTCTAAAATTGAACGCATGGAACGCATTTCTGATGGAAACACTATCTGTGTAACTGGCAAGTCATCTACTTGATCCATTGAGACAGAGACGGACAAAAAGTTCTGAACAAAAGTTCTGAACAAGATTAACAATGATTATAAATACATTCACAATATTCTGATTATATTTTACTTTTTTTTTTTTTATTTATTCAAAAATGGTAACTAAAAAAAGCAAATAAACCATAAAAATGAAACAAAAAAAATTATTATTTTTACGAATAGGATAAAATTTTAAAATGTATACTGAATCGGAATCAGGAAGCTTTGGTGGCTCCCACTATGGTAATGATGGTAAAGGAGGTTCTTCAAAAATACATTTTTTTTTCTCTTTTATTGCTGACTTGAAGGAGTTTTCTTGTGTTTTTTTTTGATGTATTAAAATCAATTTCTACTTCTGATTCTGCAGTAAGAATATGCTAAAAAAAATAACTTCAGAATTCTGGAAATATCCAAAAAAGGTTAATCCTTGACATATACAAAAATCTGTTACTAAAAAAGGACAAAAGAAATCATAATAAATACAGCTCATAATCAACTCAACTTTACCTAAGTTAAATACTCAACACATTTTATGCAATGCTTTATTACAATAATACATTGATTGCAATAAAAATAACTTATTGAGTTAGTTTAAAAATGCTCACATTCAAAGGTGGGCCGAAACTACAACTGTATAAAAAACTATCGACATTCCGTGCTAAAATATAGATAGCTAAAAAAAAGCTGCGATATGTAGCAATCAAATAGCTATAGACTTTTTGTAATCTTCTAGCTAGCTTAAACGCTACTGTATTAGGCACTTTAACATATTTAACTTTTAAACGACAAAATTAAAGCTTTTTATTGTATCATTTTTGAGGTTTTCAGCAATTTAACGTTTTTAAGAATCGCATCAACGTTTTTGGTTTTATACAAAAGCAAAAACGTTGATGCGTTTAAACAAGACCGTTATTATTTAAAACTAAGAATATAATACTTAAAAATTTTATAGTAAATGGAATTTCAATAATTAGGAAACAACCAACATTTGACATAACAAGTCTGTGACAACTTTTTTTAAACATTTTATTTAATGGTAACGCAAAAAAGGGTTTTTAAAAATAATAAAATGATTTTAAAAAACTCATTTTATAAAACATAAATATCGTTTAACAAGAAAATAATTTTAAAAGAACTTTAAATGACTGTTTAAATTAATATTAAACTGTTTAAATTAATATTATTTAAATAATATTTTGAATTTGAATTATGTGTGAGTTAACCTTAGCCCTTATATTCATTTTGTTAAATTTTAAATATTGTCAATAGTGAGGAAAAAGCAAGTAAAAATATCTCAAAAACGTTCAAACCCCGGTTTACGGTAACATAATAAAAACTAAAATAAAAGAGGAAAATGCAAGTTAAATTATTAGAGTCCTATATATAGATCAAACAAATGAAATGTAATTACCGTTGCAACTTGGCCCATCCGTTTAGAGCTTTGAAGAAAGCTGTTGCATTCCGAAGGTTCATCAGAAGATCTTTTACATGCCATTTTTGATATTGATATTTTTAAAACAATATGAGTAGTAGAGTGATAGTGCGAAAAAAGCAATATCGATAAAATTGTTGGTTATGTATAGTAAATTTCAATATGACAAATTAAGTCGTTAGTAAAATATTGCCAAAAATCATTATTTGCATAATTGGTATTGCGTAATGCGGTATACTAAATATGTTAGTTAAAACTTCTAGACAGCTATTTCATGACACGCGTTAATGCGTTTTTAATCGAGAAAACAAAAGTATTTAGATTTTTTAAATGAAAAATAAACTTTATTATAATATAGAAATAACCCAACTGTATTATAAAAGTTAAAGTTTATATAGTTTTTTAATTTTTTTTTACAGATATAGCTATATATATATATATATATATATATATATATATATATATATATATATATATATATATATATATATATATATATATATATATATATATATATATATATATATATATATATATAGTTCTATAAATTGTTAGGTTTGAGAGTACGGAAGGTAAAAAATGATTCTTTTGACAACAAATTACGTCACTTTTAATTACTCTCAACATTTCCGTGTTGTCATAAAGTTAAAACCATTAACTTAATTATTTTTTAAAAAAACCGCAAAAACGCTAATTTAATTGACCAAAATGTTTATAAAAAACAATGTTTTTAAAAATATAAACAATGTATTTATTTTTATTTTTTAAATAAAATGTTTTTATTTTTATTTTTTTTACTGTAAATCATGCGCGAGTGTTGCTACATTGACTACCTTATAGCCTGACTCGCAAATAGCCTGACTCACAAAGGAGTGCTGCTACATCGACTGAGGGTTTGGTTTGGGCAGGCAGTCTATCAAATAATAAAATAAAAAAAATTCCGGTCTTGCATTAAAATTATATATATATATATATATATATATATATATATATATATATATATATATATATATATATATATATATATATATATATATATATATATATATATATGTATATATATATATATATATATATATATATATATATGTATATATATATATATATATATATATATATATATATATATATATATATATATATATATATATATATATATATATATATATATATATATATATATATATATATATATATATATATATATATATATGACGGGATTGTATTTGGTAAATTGAAATCACCATCAGTGTTTTTAATTTACTAAATACATCATTATTATTCATAGTTAAACTTAACTAAATAAAATACTATTATTTATAGTTAAAACTTACCACGCTCATCTACCATCTTACTAACATTTTATTTCCACACGTTCGGAACAGTGCGCTACAACTGTTTAAAAAACTATCGACATTTCGTGCTCAAATATAGATAGCTTAAAAGCCGCAATATGTAGCTAAAGACTTTTCGTTATCTTCTAGCTAGCTAAATCACAACTATATGCAGCTATCGATATTTCGCATTCAAATCGATAGCTAAAAAGCTGCGATATGTAGCTGTCGACATATCGTAATAAAATTCTTACTTTTAAAGTTCAATTATTATTACCATTATTTATGGCAACCTTGTAGCTAGCTAAAAAGGCTTACAAATATGAAGCTAGCGATAAATCGAAACAAAATCGTTGTCAATAAAACTGCATTATATAGCTAGCAAGTAGCTATTGATTTGTGGCTACCTTGTAGCTAGCTACAAAGTTACAATATGTAACTAGCAATAAATCGTATTAAAATCGTTGTCAATAAAACTGCATTATATAGCTAGCAAGTAGCTATCGATTTGTGGCTGACTTGTTGCTAGCTACAAAGCTACAATATGTAACTAGTGATAAATCGTAATAAAATCGCTATCTAAAAACTGCGATATGTGGCTATCAACTAGCTATCAATTTGTGGCTCTCTTGTAACTAGCTACAAAGCTACGATACGTAACTTGCGATAAATCGTAATTAAATCGATAGCTAAGAAGCTGTGATATGTAGCTATCGAATAGCTATAGATACATCGCTATCTAGTTGCCAGCTAAACAAATGCGATATGTAGCTAGCGTTATATCGTAATAAAATCGCTGTCTATAAAACTGCGTTATGTAGCTATCAACTAGCTATAGATTTTTGGCTAACTTGTAGCTAGCTACAAAGCTGCGATATGTAACTAGCGATAAATCGTAATAAAATCGCTGTCTAAAAAAATGCGATATGTAGCTATCAACTAGCTAACGATTTGTGGCTATCTTGTAACTAGCTACAAAGCTACGATACGTAACTAGCGATTATTCGTAATTAAATCGATAGCTAAGAAGCTGCGATTTGTAGTTATCGAATAGCTATAGATATATCGCTATCTAGTTGCCAGCTAAACAAATGCGATATGTAGCTAGTGTCATATCGTAATAAAATCGCTGACTAAAAAACTGCGATATATAGCTAGCGATATATCGTTACAATGTCGCAATGTTTAAAGTTCAATTATTTTCATAATTATAATAGATCCAACACTAAAAATCGAATTTTCAATGATGTTAAAGACTTGAAGAAAAAATTAAATAAGAAAAAAAAAATCGCTCAAAAATCGCTATAAAGCTAGCTTGTCGCTAGCTAATCGCTAGCTCGCTTCCCACCGGGTAGTTTCCACACAACAATCGTTTATACATACAAAGTTACAGTTAACAGCAGTAAACTGACAAAACGTAACAACTAAAATGACATAAAAACGACTATTGTTAAAAAATTCTAAAGAATTAGTAAATATAATAATCATAAATGTTGTAGTATAATAACCAAATACATTGCAAAAATAATAAACAAATAATTAAAATATAAACTGATACAAATAAAACAAAAACAAAAACACACACACAAAAACTTTATCAAACAAAAGATCTTATATCAACAAAAAAACAAACATAATAAACAAAACATTTAATGTAATAAAGTAAACTAACAACAAATAGGAGTTAAATTTAACAACAAATATTGCTAAATTTAATGACATGATATTATGTAATGAAAATGACATTATTATTATGTAGTGAAAGTAAAAAGAAACAAATTTATAAAATGTTCAACTATGTTTTGTAATAACTTTGTAAATTTTTTACAAATCTATTACAAAACAAAAATAATTGTATTTGTATTCAAAATATATTTGCAAATTTTTTTTTTTTGCAAAATATCTTTAGAAAAATTGAAAAACTAAAACATCAATAACTCCTTGATAAAACATAAGGCCAAATAAAAATTGGTTCGCTAAGTAGATATATGTTTAATACTTAAAATAACGAAAACCAAAACTTTTTTTCATCAGATTTTTTCTAGAACTATAGTTGCCAATGGCCTTTTTTATTGTCATTAACAAGTGCGTTTTGTGGATCTAAAAATAAACTGTATTTTATTGTTTTGAGAGATATAAGTTTATGATTTTCAGATTTAGCAGGTTTTAAACTCCTTTGATACAGGGTTTTAGCTTTGCAACATTACTACAAGTTTGTTAAAAGGGTAATGGTAAATTGACATATTTCCAGCTTTATCCCCCCTCTTTTTTCAGTCAAAAAATAACTAATTTCAAGTTGCTGTAAATCTTAAAGGGTTGAGAATTTTTTGAAAAAATTTTACAGTCTTTCCTAACTTATATCTTCAAACATTTGTGCCAAATTTCAGCAGATTTGGTGATGGAGGGTGCAACCCCTTGTTTTTTGAGAAATTTTTACCCAAAGATTAGAAATTCTGTTTTATTCTTTTATGTTTCAACTTTACTATCTCTGTTAAAAACATGGTAAAAAAATGGTCTGTTTATGGCTGTTTTACGATTTACTTATCACAGATAAAAAAATCAAACGAATCTAAAATCTCAGTTTATAGATTTTCAATAGACGAAGAAGAGAAAAAATATTGGATTAATTGCATTTCTTGCAAATTTAAAAGTGACAAGCAACACTGTAGTCTGTGAACTACACTTGCTTAAAAATTTTGAAAAAGTTAAAGTAAATAGAAGAGAATGACCAAATATCCACCATCAATTTGGCCCAATGTTCCTTCAAATCAAATAACAACATCTATATTCTCTTAAGATCAACTAAATGTGAATTACCCTCTAGCCGAAATTCTTTTGACAAAATTAATTTATTTTTAGCACAAGATAATTTTAACTGCGACTTTTTTTGTGGCACATTATTAAATAAAAAACGCAATTTTTCTGTTAATTGTAGTCTTCATTTCAGATAGTAAACTTTGCGAACAATCCACAGGTTTTAATGATTATGCAACACTAAAATTTCTCATGAACTTTGATATCTATTTAAAGTTTGAATCATATTTCAATGGTGTAAAAAGAAAAGTACAAACTGTGTCTAATGTGTTTAACACATGGTCTACATTTGAAGAAATCTTGCGATGTTTGAACCTTTTGATACCAAACAATAAAGAAGTAGTAATGAATGAGCAAATTGATACCTTGAACACAAATAAATCAATAAATAAAAAGTAAGTATGGTCTTAGTGTAATTATCAGAGCATTTGAGCATTTTGTTACCTCTTATACACTTTATAAATAATTGCGTGATGATTTTAAACTACCTTTTATTCGAACATTAACACGCATTAATTCAAAAGTATCGAAATCTGATAATAATTTTTTTAAAAAAGAGGTTTTTGATAATTTAAGTGATGGTCAAAAAACTTGCATTATTCTCGACGATGAGGCTTATGTTAAAAAAAATGTCATTATTTCATGGAGGTTCTCATTTTGGAAAAGCATTAATTGTTTTAGGAGTCACCAAACATAACTTGTATGTTTGGTGTACCTAAATTTCTTGTGAAAATGTTACCTGTAAACAAATTAAATTCTCATTTTTTATATGATCAAATTTCTTTGATTGTAGAAACAGTTAAAGAGTCTAATGGCAACGCAAAAGGTAATTATATGTGATGAAAATTGAACTAAAAAACCATTTTTTTAAAAAAATTGACGCATTTCCTGAAAATCCTTGTTTTTTTTTTTCTTTTCCATTTATTGAAAAACCTTGGTTGAAAAACCACCAATAGAAAATTTTTTTTTTTGTTTGACATTGTCCAATTAATCAAAAACATTTGAAACTATTGGCTCACATTAAAAAAAGAAGAACTTATTTTTTAAGAAAATGGCGTTGAGAAAACAGCTTGTTGGATTCATTTAATAAAACTTTTTGAAGCTGAATCTACTTGTCTTATGAAACTTTTTAATTTAAATAAAGTTTCTGTTCGACCAAGTCATATTGAATGACAATCTGTCATCAGGGATCCAAATGATGATCGATTAAAATTTATTTAGGATTTTGGAGAAATGGCATTACATATGACAAGTAATCAAAAGAAGTGTATAAAACAATTAACACATGATACAGGACATTCCACAAATCATACATGTAAAGAAATTGGTGAGCTGACAAATACACTATTAAAAGAAACACAAAATCATGTTATGTTGGGAATATTTACAACGGACCCACTTGAAAAAGAATTCAGCAAGTTAAGACAAGGATCTGGTAGCACATATTTTTTAGGTCTTCTACAAATAATTGAAAAGTTCAATATTTCTCAAACTTCACTTTTGTTGCCATGTAACATTATTGAGTCAACTCCTGATGCAGGACATTCTTGTCAATTTTGTGGATTTTTACTTGATGAATCTTTAGCTGAGATCTTTATAGATAATTTACCAACACAAGAAAAAATATATAACTGTTCAATCGAAGATGTCTCTTGTTTATATTGCCAAATATGTGTCTCGTAATGATAATTTGCTTAACGAAAATGAACTTTTACCCAAAACAAAGTTTTATTTTGGAAAGTTTAGTCAGTATCTAAATCAATCGATAGGGGTGGATTAAAAACTCCTTTTTATAATACAGTTTAGTGGGTTTTCTTCTCATTTGTACTCTTTAACTCTTTTAAAGACAAAGAGGGTTAAAGAGTTTGTCGGACATCCCTGTACAACACTTTTATGCTTATATTGGAGCATTACTCTTTTGACTTGGAACGACATCATGGTAATATACTGTCAAATATTTTTATCAAAAACCACTGTAAACATTCCAAACCAAAATCAAACATAGAACCATCTTTAAAAATTTTAAAGTTGTCTTGTTTTAAAGTTGACAGTTATTGATTGAAACTTGCTGTTATTACTTTGTTGAAATTTATTACTTGATTTAAATGTTTTGTTTAATGATTTTAAAAGTATTCCTTATTTCTTTAAGTCAATGATATATATTTTTACTTAAGGGTGTAATTACCCTTACAGTATTTTACTTAACTTTTATTTTTTACCTGATATAAAACTTTGTTATTTCATTATTTAAGCAATTTTATGAATTGAAACAATTAAATAAAGTTTATTATTAAAAACTTTAATAATACTTTAGATTAACAAATTGTACAAATTTTTACAGCGTTTAATGGTTTTTATGACGGGAGAAACATATTTTGTTATAAAACAAATATCATATTGATTTTTAAAAAATCGGCCCCCACGCTTTTTCCTAAGTTTTGCGTGTCACGGCCTGTTTCTCATAGAGCGCCGTGACAATCCCTTAATCGAATATTTTTTATTCGAAACTGATTTAACTTAACAAAGTTTTCGTTTTTTATTTTTTTGAAATTCAATTAGCTTATTAAAGCTCTTTTTTTTTCCTTGTAAACAATTTTAGATTTAGATTTTTTTTTAGATTTAGATTTTATTTCGCCGTTTAAAAATAGTTACAATAACCAGATAATGTAGTTACAATTATATGTATAATTACAATAACCATAAGAGTATATATATTTACATTTAAATTTGGCAGCAACAACGGCAGGACTTCTAGAAGATCATGAGGATCTTATCATAAAGCCCTATAAAAATATAATACATTTACACTTTTTCAATATAATTTTAATTAAAAATAAACTGTTCGTAATGAAATAATATATCTTTTTATAAAAAAAAACTTAGTAATTATTAGTCTAAATAAAACAATATACAAAAATAGTTAAAAATAGATGAGAATATTTTTTCTAATAAAAAGATAATCTTTTTAAGTTTCTGTTTAAATGAAGCATAAGTCATTTTAATAGAAAAACCAATTTTGGTAAAACTATTTTGTTCCAGAGATAAGGCCCTTGATAAGAAACAAAAAACTGGTCTTTTTTTTTGATGGCAAAAAGGGGCAATAAGATTGTTATTAGTGCGAAAATTATATTTGCTTTCCGGTTTCAAATTATAAACATTTTAAAATACAGTTGGTGACAGATTTTCTCTACATTTAAACATAAAGCACAAAATATTAAAAACATTTAGTTGGTACACATTCAAAATTTTCATTTCTTTAAAAAGTTGTTTTTTGTGAGAAAACCGATTTTTAAAATTTATTACGCGAACTGCGTAATAAATTTTAAAAATCTGATGAAGGTAAAGAGATTTAAGCTTTGTCTTATGGGTGCTTCCCCATATACTATTTGCATAGTTTATATGACAATGAATAAATGAATAATACAATTGTGTTAACTGATGTTTACTTAATATATTTCTTGCTTTATAAAAAATTCCGATGCATTTTGCAATTTTTGTGGAAGTAGCATCAATATGATACCTCCAGGACAAATTTTCGTCAATATATATTCCAAGAAACTTTATAACTTTTTCCCTTTTTAAAGTAATATTGTCGGTTAAAAGATCTGGCATGATATGTGGAAGTTTTTGTTTTTTAGAAGGCGGATAAAAGAGTGTCCATTTTGTTTTTTCAATATTGAGGGACAATCTATTTTGTTTAAACCCAACAGAAATTTTTTTAAATTCATTTGTCATATCAATAAATAGTATATTAATATTTTCATGAGACAAAAATAAATTTGTATCATCTGCAAAATTTATTGTTGTTAGGTTTGAAGATTTATGAAGATCTTTTATGTATATTAAAAAAAAGAGTGGACCAAGTATGGATCCTTGCGGAACTCCACATGATATATTCATAAATGCACGAGATGTGGAATCTTTATTGAAGACAAATTGTTTACGGTTTGTTAGGTAACTTTTGAACCAAAGCAGAGTTTTATCTTTAATACCATAAGACATAAGTTTTTTTAATAGGATTTGGTGATTCACGGTATCAAATGCTTTGGACAAGTCAATAAAAACCCCTAATGTAAAACGAGAATCTTTGAATGAATCTGCAATGTTGCGCGTAAGTTGAAGAAAGGCATGTTCGGTTGAATTATTTTTTTTAAAGCCAAATTTAATTTCATGCAGTATTTTATTTTCAATAAGATAAGAGTAGACTCAATTAAACGCTTTTTCTAATATTTTTGAAAAAACTGGAAGAACCGAGATAGAGCGATAATTTGTTATATTTGTACGATCGCCGGTCTTGAAGATTGGAGTTATTTTTGCTATTTTCAGTTTATCTGAAAAGGACCCTTGTGTGATGGACACTCTGAAGATTTTAAAAAGAATATTTTTTATAATATCGTAGAAGTCTATTACAATATTTGCGTTAACTTCATCGTATCCAGTTGCTTTATTTCGTTTTAATGACTTGAAAGCAACTTCAAATTCATCAAAAGTTAACTCAGTATTATTTAGAGTTGAGCTTAATAGAGTTTCATATTCATCAATAGCTTTTTATTTAATGTATGGAATACTATTGCATAATTTTGTTCCGATTGTTGTAAAAAAACTTGTTTAATTCGAATGCAATTTTGTTTGGATTATTAAATAACTTGTTTTTAATTTTTATTGTTTCTGGCAGTGAATTTGTACTTGTTTTATGTTTTCCAGTCACCTCTTTCATGACTTGCCAGACCCTTTTTGAGTTATGTTTGTATTTATTTAGCAAGTTTGAGTAGTAATTTTATTTTGAATTTTTACGAAGCTTTTCAAATAAGTTTTTATAATTTAAGTAATTTTGTTTGTGTTTTTCTGATTTTGATTTTAGGTATTTGACATATAACTTCTGTTTAATTTTTGAGGATTTTATGAGACCCTTTGTAATCCAAGGAGATGATATCTCTTTGGCTTTTAAGACTATTTCACGTAAAGGAAAATTTGAATCATAAACTGCATAAAAAGTTTTAAAAAATTGATCATAGATTATGTTAATATCATCATTAAAATTGATGTAGTCCCAGTTTATAAGTGATAACTGCTCTCTAAAGGAATTCAAATTATTAATATTGAAAAGCTGTTTTTTAATTGAGATTTTTACATGGTTCTCTTTTTTTACGTTTAATTCTAATTAGAAAAATATACGGAAATTTAATTCAATTTGATTTACAAAATTAATGTCAGCATATCAAAATTACTTTTTTATTTCGAAATTAATTTGAATTTTATTTCGAAATTAATTTGACAAATATTAATTTTATGTATTTGAAATTAATTTGGCTATTTGATAATTTTTAAAGTTTTTACAAAAACCGTATATATAATTTTTTATAGATAACGTTTTAGACAAAAATTTTAGAAAACTAACCCTAGTTTATGAATTTATACACACGTTTATTTATACAAACACGCTTGCAAATAGTTCTGAAGATAAGCGAAACGATTTTCTTTCAGAAAACATGTTTGTATTTGTAAAAGTAATTTATTTACTATGACAACAAACGTAATCTAAATAATAATAATAAAATTATTACTTATTATTTTTGTATACATTTGTTTGATAAATTATGTTAATGAACTTAGTTGCAATTCAAACGCATTAATTGACTTGAGTGACTAATGTTAAAATAACCTCTGAAAGTATGTGTATAAAAAAGAACGCGTTTTATAGGTAATAATAAATATACTAATTATTACAATACCATAAAAGTTATACTGGGTCCCAAAAGTTATTATATGTCACGGGAGTGCTGATAATGGTGCACTTGTTGTCATTGATTTAATGTCATTATTATCTTAATAAATATTCTCTTTTACACGGAACTTCATTTAACTTATTGGTTATTTCTTTATACTAGAAACGAAAACTATAATAAATGTACTTTTTTTAACTATAAAACGAAAATTTTTCTAAAGTATTTCTATTTTTCTCTCTTTTCTAAATAAATTGTATAGTAGGGTGGGGAGAAAATTACATTTTTTGAAAATTTCTGCTGTTACAAAATGGTAATAAGGTTTTTGATTTGATATGTAATAACGTTTAAATTTTAAAAAAAAATACTTCTAGGGCTTCCAACTGATGTATGAATATTTGATTGGTCCCTAACCTTATTCGTCAAAAGTATGATAGCCTGGTACTCAAAAGAAGCGAAATTTTGTAAAATTTCATAATTACTTTCTTTCATAATTTCTTTCATACATTTCATAAGTAATTACTTATTTCATATTTTGCCAACTGAAACAACATAACAGGTGAAAGCCATGTAACTTAATTTTATTTTTTTAATTTTTAAAATGGTTTATTTTGCAGTCAAATTTTAAATAAAAATATATTAAGTTATAAAATTGCTATGGTACAGATTATCTACTAATTAACCCACAATGCTACAGAATTGCCAATGCGAAGATCACAAAAGTTTATATAGAAAAACATTTTGTTAGAAAAAATATTAAAAAAAAAAAAATAATAAAAATACAAAATCTTAATAAGTATTACCATTCAAAAAATAATATTTCATCCTTATGAAAAGTTATAAAGATTCGAAAGCACAAATAAAAGCGTTTTCTATGAACTTATTTTTTTTGCGTTATTTAAAAAATCTTTAAAACTCTTAAGGTTTCGGAAAACGTGATTGCGGTATGAAATCACTAATCTTTTAAGGTTCAAAAGTGAAACCCATTCATATATATCATTCAAAAAATTGGTGTCTTCGTGAAGATGAATAAAAAGCTTTTCGCAAAGATTAAACCAAGGGAGGAAATTTTCGTACTCTTCCTTTGATATCAGAGTTAAAAAACAGTCGATGAACAATGATTCAATTTTATTCATCGGTTTCCAAAATTCGATTTTAAGTGGAATTCGTAAGGTTACATTAACAACATTCGTTGAACATTTCATTATTAACTTTTCTTCAAGTTTTGTTAAATTTGCTTTGTTATGTTTACTTTTTCCAACAATTAAATAATCTAACTTTTTTCCTGAATTTATCAACTGCTCTACAAAATAAAATTGACAGGAAACTTCATAAAATGTTTTATTGAGAATCCAAATCTGACATAAACTTTTATCGATTGATTCTTTTATGTCATCTGTTATCGTTGCTTGAGATTCATAAAAACATGTCATGAATATTTTCTTAAGACCTAAGAAGTTCAAAAAAGAATGTTTTAAAATTTAAAAACGTCAAAATTTAAATAATATGGTTACTGGCACCATCTAAACGTGTTCTACTTAATAAAAATACACTAGAATTTTTTTCTTCTGAAAAATAAATAATTTTAAGGGTTCCCCTAGGCCCATGAACATTAAACGGGTTCCTAAAATAGATCAACCTGGTACTTAGATAATAGGAAATTTAATAAAATTGTTTGATAAAAATATTATTATCTTAGATTTTTACTGGATTTAAAAAAATTACTTTTTTAAAACTAAAAATGTGAATTTTTAAACAAAATGAATATGAATTTGTTTATTCAGAAATTATTAGTTCATATTAAATATTCAATACAATATAAAATATAAAATAATCTAATGAAGTTGTGCGACACCAGACACTACTATGGTGACAGCTTAAAGACACACAGAGTATTCATTATTTGTAGGTTTTCCATCAATATGATCTTTGATGATATTTACAGACAAAGTTGGCTTCATTTAACACGCACTCCATTCATTACGCACTCAACTAGTAAGAAATGTTTTTTTCTTTGCAATTTTTGATTACTTACTTTGTCGTTAGTTGCGCCCTCGTAGGCAGTAATTCAATACTGATAGTGCATCCACCTCACTCTAATTTCTAGATACCACAAGGAATTTAAAATCTTTGGACTATATCGTCTTGATTTTTATTTTTCTTCAAGAGATGCGATTCCAAAGATATGGAGACTTACCGGTATGACTTGAACATGATTTCGGTGTTTTTGTTGCTCTTTGGTGAATACTTACAGTGTAAATGAGAGAATGCTTGAAAATATAAGAAAATAATGTTGGTCTGACATACTCTGTGCACAAGAGATAGTAATTTACAAAGTAAGACCTCTTCTTGTATAAGCACTTTCGAGAGAACCTAATATGCAATTGGTCTTTGCTGGTACCGTTTCTTACAGAAATTTTACTTTCAAGTTATGAGAAACGAGTATTCCAAATCAAGGTCAATTTTGGTGCTTCCAAGTATTTATATGTTTCTTTCTTGTGTATTGTGTAGTCTTAAGTCAGTTTGATGTTCAGAGGTAAATTGTTTATGTAAAATATAAATAGTAGAGGTCGAAGCACTAAACCTCGAGGAACACTGCTTGTGACTACTGTTGGTTCGCTAGCCTGTTTTAAGCTTCAAGCTTATGATGGAGATAAGGTTAATAACCTAGGAAAAACGCATTTGATAAAAAATTCTCCTGCTTCAAATAAATTAGTTATCCAACCTTACTTTAGAAAAAAATCGTGCTGTTCATTTGAAATTAGATTATTTTTGAATATCTGGATGAAACTCTTCATTACTTTGCATGGGACAGAAGTATCGATCGATAGTAAGTTCTTTATGCTTCCTCTTTTTTTTTTTAAATTAGCGTCATGTTTAGCATAAATTTTAATGTTAGATCAGCTACATATAAATTAACCTTTTCAGTGCAGAGTGTTTTAACGGCCAACTTTATAGGCTGCAAGCTTAATATTATATTTGAAGTGATTTTACTTCCATTTCATTAAAATTTATGTCAGACTTTCAGAAATTTTGGAATAGCATCATTAAGTTTTAAAAATCTTTCCAGCATTCCTAAAAAACTACATTATCTAGTTTTACAATCTAAAATTAAAAAAAGTTCTTTTCTAACAGTTTTTTGAACGTTTTTTTGCTGCACTTTGTTATTCTTGGTAGGTGATTTTCTGAAAATTCTTACAACGTTCCGAATTTTTGTAATGAAAGAATTTACTTCTGTTTTGTAGAACAAGATAGGTAATATCGGTCGTTTCATGGTCTACTTCAAAGTTTTTAAGTTTAATTTTCGACTAATCAGAATCAAAAATAAGTATTGCATTAGCATCACATTTATTAACATAATGCAAAATCTTTGCAAAACATAGATGTTTGTATCTATATTATTTCAAATGTTTTTAATTAAAATTGTTAAGTTTACTCAGATGTCAAGTTTGACAGTCGGCTCCACAAGCCTGACCGAGACTACGTATCTTGTTCTACAAAATAAAAGCAAATTCTTTCATTACAACCAAGAATGACAAAGTGCTGCAAAAAAAAGTTCAAAAAATTGTCAGAAACAAACTTTTAGGTTGTAAAACTAGATGGAGTAGTTTATTAAGAATGCTGGAAAGATTTTTAAAACTTAATGATGCTATTCTAAAAATTCTGAAAGACATAAATTTTAATGAAATGGAAGTAAAATTATTTTCAAATATGAATCTCTTACTTGAATAAGGAGACATGTCCTGCAAAAATTCACATAACATGTCCCCTTTTGTAAGTTGGCCGTTAAAACACTCTGGACTGAAAAGGTTAATTTATATGTAGCTGATCTAACATTAAAATTTATGCTTATGAATCAAGTAACCAAAACACTTTTTTAAGCATTGCATCAAAAAGAAGAATTAATAAGTTGTATTTAGTGTAGTGACCAAAACTAAAAATTGTAACTAAAGTGAAAAAACCGTAACTAAAATTAACTGACTAACATTTTAGTTAACTAAAATTAGTCGACTAATTTTTTAGTTAACTAAAACCACCTAACTAAGTAACTTTTTAGTTACTTAAATTACTCGACTTAACTTTAACTTTTAGTAAAATTTTTTAGTAAAATTTTTAGTAAACCTTCTAGTAAAAACTAAAATTACCCGAATAACTTTTTAGTTAACTTAAAATACCCAACTAACTTTTTAGTCTAATTAATATTAGTGGACTAATTTTTTAGTCAACTAAAATTACCAGATTAATTTTTTAGTTAACTAAAAATAGTCGACTAAGTTTTTACTTAACTCAAAATACCCGACTAATTTTTTAGTCAAACTAAAATTACACGACTAACTTTTTAGTCCAACTAAAATTACCCTACTAACTTTTTAGTTAACTAAAACTAACCGACTAAGTTTTTAGTTAACTAAATTTTCCCGACTTTGTTTTTAGTCCAACTAAAGAAATATATAAGTATATAATATAAATAATTTGGGTCATGATATCATTTCTATAAGAATTTTTAAAAAAGTTTGCTAATGCATGTTTACTTTACCGCATATAACCGCAAAAATAAAAAATTAATTCTCTTTCAATTTTCAGTGCCAAAGGTTTAATGAGGTACTTCAAGAGAATATTTCATAAAAAATCCAAAAACTAAACATGCTAAAACACAAATATCTTTAGAATTAAATACTACTAAGGCCAGCGAAAAGGGGTGAGGGGATGGGGTGGTTTAGGTTTTGTGTGTGACATTCCATCAATGAACTTTTAGCTTATTTAATAAGCCAATTTGACTCTATTAGATAAGTAAGTTGGCAAATGTAGATTTTTAGAACAGTCACTTGGTAAATTAAAAAAAAAAACAAGGATTTTTTTCCTCCTTTTTCTAGTCAGCTAAAACTTTAACAGCGCTCTCTAAGTGTTACCTACTTGTGCCAGCCCTGTAAGCTGCAGTATATTACAACAATTCGTTTTTATTATGTGCCACCTTTTTGGATACAAACTATGAAAGTTTTTCATTCTTTGAAAAATTTGAGAAAAAAAAAAAAAATTATTTCATTTGACAAAAAATGTTTGTGATATAATTCCAGTTAAAAAGGTGACAATCAAGTTAAACAAATTTAAGTTATCATTTGACGATGAAGATGATGATTCCGGAAATGATAGTGACAAAATAATAAGTTAAAATTAAAAAAAAAAAAAAAATTAGTGGTTATATAAAATTGCCAGTAAATGAGCTAAATGTTTTTACACTTTTTGCATCAAAACCAACATGTGTTTCCAATATTGTATTGTATTTCAACAATGATTTTATGTACGCCTGCTACCAGTGCACCAAGTGAAAGCCTTTTCTCTGGCGCATTAAACACTTTGTATGCAAAGCGAAACAGAATGACAACTGAATGTTTTCAAATGTTAATGTTTTTGTACGAAAACTTGGAACTCTTTAAATTAGTTTAAATTCATTAAATTTAATAATGAAGTTTTTTCTTGTAATAAATATTTTTTAATACATTTTATTATTCTTAAATAAATATTATAAAATTTGGTATTCGAACTCTTTTGTGTGAAACTGATTTTTTTTTTTTTTGCAAAAATGTAAGAAAATAATATAGTTTTTTAAATTTAAAATGTGTTTATAAAAAATGGTAAAGAAAAATTTAAAACTAAAAAAAATGTTTAATTTTAATGTTCTCGAGTGTGCGGTTTTATCATAATGTTGCCTAAAACCGCAAACTTTTTTTTTTTACATTTATTATTTTGATAGTTTGATTATTTTTTTTTTAATATTTATTTATATATTCTTCAGAATTTTTTTAACATCTATCTAACAAAAAAATATAAAAATAAATATAATAAAAAAGTTATTGAATTTTAATTGATAATTGTTTTGACCCGGTTTTACATGTATTTTAAAGTGCTTAAAAATTTCCTATTGCATTTTCAAGTAATTAAAATGTCATAAACAATTTCCTGGTTTTAAAAGCGACCGTAGTTACTTAATAAAATGTTTTCATTATTCAACAGTTAAGTATTTTTTAATACATTTTATACACTATTCAACAACTTATACTGCGGAAATTGCATTTTAATTGCATTTTGTAATTGCAATTGCATTCTAAAATGCAAATACCAATCTTCCTTTTAAATTTTGCAAGTCTAGCCAACCGACGAACAACTATACTCTGAAAGCAATAAATATATTCATTATAACTTATTTAACGACTACCTTTTGTGTTAATGTCAATACTTCCGCCTGCCTTAATGTAGCGTTTGCGGGCTATAACAGTTGGGAGAGAAGACGCAACAATAAATGTTTATACGTAGCGTATTGTATTTGTGGTGATGGTTACGTTAACATTATATTAGGTTTGGGGAGGGTTAATAAAGGGAAGGAATTTAATGCTCATTTATAATTTTTAAGTGAACCCAATATTTTTATATCTTCTGTATTTGGAAGAACTA